GTTAGCTACTAGTACTTTGTTTTAAGGTTTGTGAAAAATCTTTTGTATTGAAGATTTAAATTAAATCAAATTGAATAATACAATTGTAATTTCAAATATATTCAACTGAAACTATTCAAATGGTATTGAAACAAAAATAGTAAATAGGTACATTTTTTTTCTAGAACTTATACAATCTACGATAAAAAAAGTACAAAAAGCATGTGTGCTTTTTTTAAATTAATTGCAGTAGCTTGGGTGACCTGCCGATTGGCGATAACTTACAATAGTTCGAGTGATAGCCACCATAGCACTATAATCACAGAACCAAGAAACTATGGATTGGAAACGAATGTCGAAACAGCGGCCCAGTTTTGTTATGAACATTTTTTGGTGGGGGAATTTAACAGATAGTGCTGTACCCTGGTGGTGAATATCATAAGCTATGCTCTATTCAGAATAAGATCGCACTGCAGCTTTAGCGACCGTTTTCCCGAGCATACACGATCGGAATTCTGAACTGTTGTTTGACTAGGTGGGGGAAGCATAAGTAATCATTACCAAGAACTAAGATACTGTATTGTTGCAAATTAAATTTATATTATTTATGATTATTATTGTAGGTTAACTAATTTAATTAAATATGGGTATTGGGTACAAATCAATTTGGTTTTTAAATTTAAAACTTTTTTGGATACCAGTTGTATCTTTAATAGTTCTTTAAGTGGTCCCATTTAAATTGTGTTACATAATTCAATTACTGACTACTGCTTTAAGCAAGCTATAATATACATTTTAAAATGTTGTATACAAATAGCTTACCTTAATTACAAACAATTCGCATTCATTTTCTTCAACATTTTGCTGAAAAAGTTGAAGAATAGCACCTTTAACTAGACTAAATCTATCTCTATTTTTGAAATGTATGTCATAAATTTTAGATTATTATATGTTATAAATTATAGTTTATATTTCATATTTATTTCAGTTGCAGACATTTTCAAACATCCAATTAGTTTAAGTATATATACCCTACCTCCAGCATAATTTTTAATTATTTCCCGAAGAAGAAAAGGTTTTTCCATGTAAATGAACAAGATAAAGTGAAATATTATAATGAATCAAATTTCAATACCTACTTTAAATATTGTGTTACATGTGTTGTCATGATGTTACATGTTAGAACAAGATTTATGTTTAGATTATTTTTAGATTCATAATAAGTATATCTAGAAACTATTCCCTCTTCAATGTCAATCCTTTCCCTCACTACTCCCTGGACACAATTAACTTATGCGCAGAATTTCACGTCATACAAATCTTAATAGTTTTAATAATTTTATAAAATATTTTTATAGATACACAAAATTACAAATTCATTGACAAATTATAATTCATAATATGAGCCTATATATGATATAAATATACTGGCACAATATCATATATTTAATAAGTAAGTAGGTACTAAATGCTCATCATAGACAGCCTGAGGACCACAGCACAGTGGTTAGTAGTTCATGGTATTCACCACCAGGGTTCAGCGCACTCCGTTAATTTCCCTTACCATAAAATGTCTAACAAAAACTGGTCGAATTTCTTTGAAATTTTAACTTGTTGTTCCCAGTCCTTAGAATTTTAGTTCATGGTCTATGGTACTGGTGGTTGTGCCTATTGTATTAAACTAACCATTGCAGAAAATTAAACAAAGGACATTTAACGTAATCTGATGGTGAAAAAATAAGGAAAAAGAAATCGATGGTACACATCGTTCTCGTGGTTTCAGCAGTGGTACCAACTCAAAATTGCCCTTTTTTTTAGATATGCCATTATTATTCCAGGAATGCGATTTTTGAGGTACTTATTCACCCTAAAATCTGGTATATTTTAACCATACTAACTTCCTGCTGGGCGCTATTGAATTACGTTCTAAATCATAGCATAGAACAGAGGCGGCCAAACTTTTTTTGGTGACGGTCTACTAAAAATGTGCTTCACCTTTATTGACTTTTATAGAAAAATTTTTTATTATTGAATAACTATAATTATTCAGAAACATACTTGCATGAAGTGCATGTAAACATACAATAAGTATTATTAACTAATTACTAAAAATAATATAATAATAAATAATAATTTCTAAAATCTAATTAGATAAGTTTAATTAACATATTATTTTGTTGATCTGGGTATTGTTGAAGTGTGGCATTGCATGTCGTTGACTGATTGGTCGTAATCTGGCGAATAGTTGCTAACTGCTAATCGAAGGCACTGCTCCAAATGGTCATCAGAGAGCATAGATCGAAATTCTGGTTTTATCATTTTCATGTGAGAAAATGCTGTTTCGCACAAATATGTAGATCCAAAAAAACTGTGTAACTGTAAAGCTATATTCCTGAAACCCGGATATTTTTCTTCACTCAATAAATTCCAAAAATTTGTTTCAGAACCTCGAGCTTTGAGGAATATATCTGATTTAATTTTTATAATTTCAAATTCAAATTTTGTAGAATCCATATCAGACAAATTGCTTATTTGTGTAGAAATATTTTCAATATTGTTTGTTTCGGAGAAAGGAAAAGACATGAATGTAATAATCGGCTTTAATTTTTGAATACTTTTAAATCGTCTTTCAAATTCATTGTACACTTTTTCAACCTCAGAGCAATACATTTCCACTGCCACTGTACATTTTTGCTTTTCAAAAGAATCTTTTCAGTTTGGAAAATTATTCAAATTAGATTTATTTAATTGTGACTTGAGTAATATCAATTTTGATTTACATCCATTTATAGAACTCAATAACTCAATTATTGTCCCATATTTTCCTTGAATTTCAACATTTAAAGGGTTTAAATGAGCCGTTATATCTGTTAAAAAAGCTAAGTTCTGAAGCCATGTATTGTTTGTTAAACAATCATAATTATCGCCTCTGGATTGCAAAAACTCTATTATTTCAGAGATTAAACACTGAAACCTTTCTAAAAATTTACCACAGCTCAACCATCTAACATCCGTATGCAGTAATAAATCACAATGCTGAGAATCGTTTTATTCTAATTGTAATTTAAAAAGTCGCCTTTTCAAGCTTCGTGAACGTATAGAATTGGCTATTTTAAAAGCAATGTACAGTATACTACATGTATTCAATATTTTTCTACACAATGCTTTGTTGATGAATCACACAATGGAACGTTATAAAATTTGGAAAATTATTATCATTTTTACACAAAGCAATAAAACCATTATTTTTACCTATCATAGCTGGAACCCTATCAGTCGTAATACAAACTAATTTATACAAAGGTAAATTTGATTTATTGACAAAATTAATGAAAGCTTGATAAATATCCACACCTCGTGTCGTACTTTTCATAGGGATTATAGTTAATAATTCTTCTTTTGAATTAAAATTTGAAAAAACTAGTCGTATAAATATACATAGTTGTACGGTATCTGTTATGTCTGTTGATTCATCGAATTGAAGTAAAAAATAAACACATTCTTTGATGTCTTGTTTTAATATTTTAACTAAATTTTGTCCTATAGATTCTACTCTTCTAGTCACAGTTTTACGAGATAACTATAAATCGTTTATAGTAGGGTGACCATAGAATATAATAAAAATACGGGACACTTTAGTTACTTAAACTAAAAAAAAAAAAAGAAATTCTAATTTTAACTAAATATATTAATATGAAAAAGACAAATTAAATGTATGTTGTATACTAGTTTTTAAATACAAATAAAATATTAATAAGTATAATATGTACACCTAACCTATAATAAGTAAAAAAAAAATTTATTTTGATGACGATGGCACGTGAATTTCTTAATTTAGAAATAATTTTTAAAAATAAATTAGGTAGTATGGTACACTGAATTTTAAATAAGCTTCACATCACTACGTCACTGCGACTACGATTACACTGTGAATGTCATCGTGAACCAGGGTTGCCAGATTCTCAAACAGGTATTCTCGTACTGAGGTTATCAAATTCTCGTATTTTCAATGAAATTCTAGTATCACTAAAAAAATCGCTCGCTATGCTTTTTTAATTTTTTTGTTTCATAGCAGGTAGTTGCATTAAAATTGGATCTTCCATGTTGTTCCTCTTTTTTAATTCTAATGACGCAGTTTGTAAAAACTGTCGACATCTGTTGTAAAATCAAATAATATAAAACAAATAAATAATAGACTAACTTAATGTATACTAAATTAAAACAATTTATGTCATACTTTTCAAAAAATTCTTTTCGACGATTATTGTTGCATATGATGTTATCATTATCTTTATTAAGCATCACTTTTGATCCTAAATAGAGCTCATTATCGACCAATTGATACTGGCCATTCATAGGATTTATATTCACTAAATTAGTCTGCATGATATAATTTCTCTTCAAGAAACACAAGAGGATATCTTTGTATAACATGACAATCATTTCATGCAAATCAGTTATGACCACTCCTTGAGTCTGGAAATATTGATTAAACCTATAAGAAATGATTATTAATATTATTTAAATTTGTCATAATAATAAAAAAATTTCCAGATGATTTATGAATAAAATTATTAACAAACCTTGTGAATTTTGGTAGAGCCCATTCAAGGAACTGGTAAAATAATTTCATGAAGGGTCATTCAAAGAATTATATATATGTTCACTGGAGACTAATCTCTGTGACAAGTATGTATCCGTGAAATATAATTTTAGTGCTTCCCATTGCTCTAGTATTCTGTTAACAACTGTTGTAAGAGATAGCCACCTAGTTTGGGACGGATATAGCATACGGTGAGGATCTAAATTTAGAAATTTTTGAAACTGTTGAAGTTCACAATGCCGTTTCGAACTACTTTTCAAAAAATTAAAAATATTCCTTGCCATATCTTAACAGCTGCGAGGAAGATGTCGACAAGCCTCACTAGCACAAAGATGTGCTGAATGGTAAACACATTTCATAATGAAATTTCCTGGAAATTCGTTAAGCATTTGAGATGCAACCGAATTATGTTCACCCATCATTGGCATCCATCACTGCCAAAACCAATTACATTTCTTTTTGGAATATTATGAGATGTAAGTGATTCTAACAACCCATTAAATAGCTTTTCAGCTGTAGCTTTGCCGGGATTTTTAGAATTGTAAACTTCATAAAGATCCCAAAACTTGCTTTCTATTTTTGCGGTATTTTTATCAAAAAAACTTTTAAAAATATAAAAGATTAATAACTGTTTTCTATTATTAAAAAAAAAATGTTAAGTAAATAATTATATGCAATTTATTTACCTCAGCACAACGCAGGATGTCTTTATAGTACCTATGTCGGTAGATTCATCAGTCAGTATGCTGAATTTGACAGTTTTTAAGTATTCTGTCAAACTATATTTTTGAGCTGCTCCAATAACATTTGATGTGATGGCAGTTACTTTTGTTCTCTTCATTTTTAGACTTTTAGCTATGTTTGAATCAGGAAAACAACTTTTCAAAACATCAACAAGGTGGTCTGCAGCTAAAAATGCTATATTATGTTCGGCTATAAACGCTGTTAGTTTGATCTCTGCCGACTTAACTTCAAAATCAAACTTCGAGTCAGTTTTTCTTGTAGTAAAAGATGCTATTGCTTTACATGGTTTTTTTTTAATTTCCTTACAAGCTACAATTTTCCTGTGACTAATCCCTTTACCGTGCGATTTAATGTTCTTCAACTCAGCGACCATTGTGCAATTGCATAACTTACACTTAGCTTTAAAGGGATCGTCATTAACAGGACACAACCATGTTTTGAATTCTTCAACATTAAGCCATTCTAACCGAAACTTCTGTGCCCTGTGTTTTATTTGTTTTTTAACTGTTAATTTGGGTGGTGTTAAATTAATATCTTCTTCTTCGCTACACATATTTTTAATTAACGACACTAATACACTATGACAACTACAGAAGATACTTAAGCAGACGAATTAAGTATTAAACTACAAGTAGCTGAAGAGTAGTAGATAATGACAACAGTGAACAGACTAATTTTTTTTTTTTATTTTTTATTAAATAACTATCCGCGGCGTCTATGGCCATTGGATGTAACAGTACAATATTATCTTTAAGTATATTTACATATTACATTAATATTTAAAAGGTATATAAAGTAATTTAATATTTATAACAAGACAGAGTAGTAATAATTAGGAAAGAGGTTAATTATTTACAATTTACAGTTTGTTTATGAGATTCGTTTGTTTGAGAAATTGCATGATCTTGTGTATATTTCTGGGGTCCTGGTTGAGAGCTTCGGCGAGGTGGTTGGATATTTGATACAGCCTTCTTTCTTTGTCATATACTTTGCATTCGGTTAAGATGTGTTTCACAGTAAGGAGTGTTCCGCAGCATGTGCAAACTGGGGGGTCTTCCTTCTTCATTAAGTGGGAATGTGTAAGGTGGGTGTGGCCAATTCTGAGACGGTTTATCGAGGTCTCATGTTTTCTTGAGATGTTATCTGGGGAGGGATACGGTAGGGCGGAACTCTTGATTTCGTTAAGTTTGGTTGACATTTCATTCCATTCCTTTTGACACTGAAGTAATGTATCCTTTTCGACGACCCTCTTTATGTCGACGAGGGAGAAAATGGGTAAGGAGAGAGAATTTGGGGAAGAGTGAGCGAGTTTGGCGGCTGTGTCTGCTAGTTCGTTGCCGTCTATGTTACAGTGGCCAGGGATCCAAGAGTAGGTGATGTTTTTGTCCTGTTGTTTTGCTATGAAGTGGGTGTTTTGAATTTTTCTGACGATATCAGACGGAGAATAAAGATTTTGGAGGCTGGTAAGAGCGGAGAGGGAGTCACTAAATATTGTAATATTGCTGTCATTTATTTCAGAGATGGTGAACTCGATAGCTTTAAGGATCGCCAGGGTTTCTGCTGTATATATCGAACATTTGTTTGAGAGTTTCCATTGTATTGTAGTTTCATCGCATATGATAGCCATCCCGACTCGCCCTTCGATGATGGAGGCATCTGTATATATATGAGTTTGTGGGCGGATGCGTGAGCAAAAGTCTCTGAATGAATTCTTGAAAATGTGAGGGCAGGTTGAGTTTTTGGGGAATTGATGTAGGTCAATGTTAATATTCATGTTGAACTGCCATGGGGGACATAGGGGCTTTTCATATGGGATTATATTTTCGAGGTCGTATTTTATGTATGTGTGATTAAATGTATGTTTAGGGTGATGAATTTGATTTTGGGGGGATCTTGATATTCTTGCTGCTAATTTGTGGGTTTGTTCTCTCCACCGTACTTCTAGGGAAGGAATTCCAGCAATATTTAATATGCTTTTGATGGGGCTAGAGCGGAA